AATATGTTGAGCATTTAGCTGCTCCTGTGCCAGGTGTCCTAGTGCCTGTAATTCTGCTGATGTCAAAGGCCATTGTTCCACCCACACAGGTTTCTCAGTCAACCATTTTAAAAATAGGGCTGTTGGGACCTTTGAAATATCAACAGCTGTTGTGCCCTACTTATGTACAACTGAACAGTCAATGACTGTTTTTGATAATACCTTTTAATATTTCTCTCAAAAATGTTCTTTATTTCTGAGATTGGAGAAATGTTAATATGTGTTTTCCATTGCTGTAAAAATTCACATCCCCATAAATTCATTGCTATGTTAGCCACATATGGCTTTACTTTCCCTACCTGTCCTTCTGGCCCTATACATTCAATATACCTTGTACTTTTTTTTTTACTGGAGGTAAACTTCCAATAACTAGAATCTTAATATTTACCTCCCAAAGAGGCCAATCTGGATGCAAAGATTTTGGTGAAATTATTGTTACACCCATACCTATGTCTAGTAAACCTTCAATTACAATGTCATCTATTTGTACATTTAACTTTGATCTTTGATCATGTATAGAAGTTTGCCAAAACACTTCTTTTATGGTCTCCTGACAATTTTGTTTCATTGACTGATGCTGTTCTGTCATCCAGAGCAGTACAATTTTTAACAATAGGTGTTAAATCTTTTAATTGCTTTGTGGAGAAGTTTTCCCAATGCTGACAAGGAATGAGTGAACCAAATTTGACACTGGGACCTGTGAGAGACCCCCTAAGGCATTTCCTATTGGCAAAGGGTTGCCTTGACTGTCCCATGATAATCTGCATTCATTAGTCCAATGCAGGCCTTTGCTGTACCTTCTGCATACTCCAGAAGCCTGAGGCCTTCTGTTTGTATTATCTCTAGAAAAAAACACTGTTTCTAGGCAGGCCTCGCCTACAGTCCCTTTTCAGATGACCTTGTTTACCACAACCAAAATATGCGACCTTTTGATTTTTCTTAACAATTAAAAAAAACCACTTCTATCCAAGTATCATCGTAAGTGTGAGACCCGACATCAGTATTCCGGATCCCTTCATCTATAGGTGCTGATCTTGCCTTTAAAGGCATAATTACCCTTTTGCATTCTGAATTGACACTATCAAAAGCCAAAGATTAAGTTAATATTTTTCTAAATTCTGGATCTAATTGCATTCTATTTACAGCTAAAGTCAATCTTGTTGAAACCCAGTGAAGGCTTCTGTTGGTTCTTATATAATTTTAGTAAATGACTCAGTACTCCTTCCTGATTCTTCAGCCCAGGGCCAAGCTTTTAAAGCTGCTATATGATATAGCACCAAAGTGTAATCATCAAATCTAGACTGTCTTTGTAAATAAGCACACTGAAATTTACCAGTTGGCTTTGGTAAATTTCAATACCTCTAGCCCTACTTTATTTTTCTATGACCCTAACTTCCTCTCTCCACAATGTTTTCTATTGTTCCTGGGGCCCAGCTTCCAATATTGCTGTAACTAAATCTTTCCAGTCTTGTAGAATAATTCTGTTCCTAGTTGCCCATGAATTTTACATCTGCTTCACAAAGGAAGCAGTTATTTCATAAGGTATATATATATGAAATAACTGCTTCCTTAAATCTTGTCAAATCTAATATTTCTACCAGATCCTTATCATCTGGTGCTTATTTTTGTATAAATTGTATAAACTGAATAAATTAAGTTGGTTTTCTAATAACCTTGGGACATTCCTCTTCAGTTTCTTAATGAAATGATATTGTAGCTTCTGCTCTAAATTCATTTATAGGTCTTTCTAAGGATTGTACTTTATCAATCATTTTTTTGTATTTGGCACCTACATTAAATCACTGTTTTAAGGTTGAAACATTAATTACTGTCAAGTGGCAGTGGTTCACACTTTGAATCCCAGCAATGGGGAGGATGAGGCAAGCAAATCTCTGTGAGTTTGAGGCCAGCTTGGTCCACACAGTGAGTTCCAGGATGACCAGGGCTGTTACACAGAGAGACCCTGTCTCAAAACAAAACAAAACAAAAACAAAAACAAACAATAAAAATCTCAATCTCTGTGAATTTGAGGCCAGCTTGGTCCACACAGTGAGTTCCAGGATGACCAGGGCTGTTACACAGAGAGACCCTGTCTCAAAACAAAACAAAACAAAACAAAAACAAACAAAAATTATCAAACTGACAATAATAACAACGGGTATTATGTCAATTCCAGATAAGTTGATTATCCCCTCACTTAATTTTTCCATTTTCAAACCATCCATTGTAGAACCATATAGAGTCCTAACTCCCTGCATCATGATATTATTTCACATTCTTTATGTGGAAAAAACTTAAAAACAAAACTAACCCTCCATCTTGAGAATTCCCATGTGTCTTACCAACTCTGCTACCTATTCCATTTTTCCACACCTTCAACAATGTAGCTGTGCCTGGGTAACCAGCTGTAGGGACAATGCTCAGCTGTGTGGCCAGGGATTTGGGGCGCTGCATCGTGCCCAGAACCAGGGGAGCATGATGTAGCTGGCTGTCACTATACTGCATGCCCCCAGCTGAGGGTAACTGCAGCTGCTCACACACCCCGTGGAGAGGGGGAGTGAGCTCCCAGAAAAGTGGATATGGGGAGATGGGGTAGGAGAAGCCTGTGAGGCTAGGACACAGCATGGAAGATCACCAGCTGCCTGAATTACAGAGCTGGCAATGGGCAGGCTGACTCAGGCAGGTGCAAAGCCCACAGGAGGCTCTGACTGCAGATTTGGGGCTGGGGCATGCAGCCCAAGGTGCTGCTGTTACAGGGAGAAGGCCCTAGTGGGAAAAGGCAGTGACCTGAGACAGCTCAGAGAAGTGGCAGCTTTAAAACCGCAGCTTGATCTTGCCACATATTGGACGCCAGATGAAGCCATTACTTATAATGTTCTATTACTCGATAAAACTCAGGAGTCAGATATTGAGGTTAAAACCTGATAGATCCAAACAGTGACAGAGGAACCATCCGCCGACCCTGCCTCTCCACACTTCCAGATCAAAAAGGCCTGAGAATAATTCTAAGCTCCTCTCTATTCCTTCCTGTGTCTCACTATCCGATTCTGGCTCTGACAAAAACTCTGTGGTTAATTCGGGCCAGCCAAATGTTGACTCGGCCCTCTGATTTAAAGAGAATGAATTGTTTTATTTGAGGACAAGGCTAGAGAATATAGGTAATGCAGTGTGTGTCAGTGTTTCCTTGTCAGTGACTTTGAAGCTGGGGTCACTTATTCAACTGAACATTATATGACCAAGCACCCCCATTTGTCTAAACTCATAGCCCTCTGGGTAAAAATTTCAGGCTTTGTACAGCTGATATTTCAGAGTCATAAATTCGGTATGGATTTCTGTGTGTTCAGAGTATCATAGACTATTTAGCAATGTCCTTGACTTATCTGCAATATGAAAGTAACACCCTTATGTCCCCAGTAGCACCCCACCTCTCAGGCAAAATATTTCCAGATACTTCCAGAATCTCGGGGGGCGGGGGCAGAGCAACGAGGAATTTATCCACATTTAAAGATGAGTATTATAGAGTTTTTTAAATTTATTCCTATAACATTTACGAAGCCAATTGCATTTCACAAAGCACATTTTTATTTGCATGGACTGAGAGACAGATAGTGTGTCACCACCAGTGACATCCCCCAGAGGCAGTGAGTCCAGGTTCCTTCAATTAGAAATCTGTGGAGACCCTCTAGGGTTATATTTTGTAGCCACATTGTAAATACTGTAAATACCACAAATTGTCTGCTCCTTGGTGAAACATGATGAAATATCAGCATTTGCTTGTGGGTCCATGATGCATAGCTACAAAAAGTTATTTGAAAAATGAAAGGTATCTTTTTGTTCAATTGTATCCAAATGTCATTCTAACTATAATTTTAAATATGCTTGAACCTAAGTGCCATTGTAATCGTGATTTGAAATGTAGTTGTACCCAAATGTCATTTTAACCTTGTTTTGAAGTACATTCTGCTTTCCTTTGCAAGCAATAGTGGTTTTAGAAAGCCTCCATTTTCCATTGAGGAGTAAATATCTGGATTAGAGCCACGTGGGTTTGAATCATGTGTTTTAACAGTTAAGTGCGGGTGTTTTCCCCTGAGGAGGCATGCTTGTTATCTAAGGGAGGTGAGACTTGAAGAAATTTTAGGCAGTGATTGCTAAAGCTGCTTTCAGAGGGGGCAAAAAGGTATAAATCTAATTTTAAATACCATGTGTATATTCCACTATGTTTCTCATTGAAATGCTTACATGGCCTTGGTCAGCAGTAGCAGAAGATAAATGTCTTACTTTGACAAGTTCATGGGAGGAGGAGACTCCGATGTAGAAATATCTTTTTGAAGGCAGTAGTCACGACAGAGATGAGAGCATGCTTTCCTACATGTGGAAACAGTTATTAGAAATGCTTGATGATCCCCCTCTGCCATTTTCATGCAGTCCATACTCTGCCCCACCTGTGACAGCGACAAACTGTGAGACACCGGTTCACCGAAGAAAGAACAAAAAATCATGTTAACTTTGAGAGAGAGCGTGAAGCAAATAACACCTCCTCTAGCTCATGCCGTGTATCCTCCAGGGAAGCAGCAATGAAGAATGGCATGGCTGGAAGTCTGGCAGCAGAAGAAAGCAGGAAGAGAAGCTGGGGGTGGCGGGGTGTGGAACAGTTGCTCAAGAGATCTGCATTTAGCCTTGAACACACTGAGTTGGCAATATGACAGTTTACGGATATTGATGGCTTCTGTTCTAGGAGCATATTGGAAACTTTGGGGATCTAACGTAGGTATGGTGTTCATCACAAAGGAAAAGATGTCTGTGAAGTGCTCGGTGCATAATACAACATTTCCTGCGGTGTCTAGGATTCTGTTTGTGGGAAATACACAGGAGAGTTATTCTGTGCTCCACAACGTTGGTCCAGCATGAAGTTCAGTTCTGCACACTAATTTTAATTCATTATATATGCCTTTTCTTCCCAGCACAAATGGACCCCCGAGGCCTATCTCCCAGACAAAGTAAAAGTGACAGTGATGATGATGACCTGCCAAATGTGACCTTAGATAGCGTTAATGAAACTGGATCCACGGCCCTTTCCATAGCCAGAGCAGTACAAGAGTAAGTACCACAATCTCAGGATGCAATGAGCATTGCAAGGTGATGGATGGATAATGGGAACCTCTCTGGTTCTTCAGGCGTGTCGCTCTAGTTCTGAACTGGCACGTGTGACTGTGTCTGTCCATTTGGCCTGCATGCTTTGGGAAAAGGTTACGGCAAACAGTGGAATGCCTCAAAAGAGTGGCGAGTTTTTGTTGTTAGATACAAGAACTCTGTGCACCCTTTCAAACCCCCTTGCACCCTTCCTTCTGGAAAAGAAACTGTTCTTTTTGTATGTTTGTATCCAATTACCGCCACCGTTACTCATCTACCAAGTGAAGTGCAGTAGAATGTTTCAAGTATCCTTACCTTGGCATTTATTATGATTTTTATATGTTTTTAACCCTTTGTTTTTACTTCCATGAGTGGATGTTCATGACTACAGCGCTTAGGGAGGCCAGAAGAAGTCATCAGATCCCCTGGGGCTGGAGTTGTAGGCAATTCTGTGTGAGCAGCTAACCCTGAGTAGTGGGTACAGATGCTGTCCGAGAGCAGCATGTGCTTTTATCCTGTGGGCTCTCTCTCCAGCCCTCCTTGTCTTGATTTGATAGGAAACCACAGGACAGCTTTATGGAAGATTAAACTTTGGAGGATACTGTGGCAATACTCTGGAAAATAGGAATGAGACACACCTTTCCAAGGGATCATTTCCCTCTTTGCTTCCTTCCACTCAGACCACAGAAGTAGCAATCAGCTTTTGCTTGTAGAAACCAACTGCATTTGAAACTTTGTCCACTCTGTCTGTAGCAGAACTTGTGCTAATCCATGTGGATTTTTCTGTAGAATATTGTTTTTGGTCTTGCGGAGAAAGAACTGACAAAGTTGTGTGTATTTAAAATTTACTGATGTGATGAAATGCTTGACTGCGTAGTGATTACCATAGTCAAGTTTATGAATGCGCCCATCATTTCACTAGGTACCTTTTTGTTGTTTCTGCCCAGAATCCTTAAGATCTACTATTTGTTTTGTTTTATGCATACAGGTGCTTTGCCTGTATGAGTGTATATATGAATGTATGTCCATTCACCACATACATGCCTGGTACCTGCAGAGGATGGAATCAACACTTGTTTCCTTGGAGCCAACATACAGGTGTTTGGAATTGGACACGTCCTCTGCAAGACCAGCAAGTTCTCTTAACCACTGAGCTACCTTTCCAGTCCAAGAGCTAGTTCTTGACAAATGTCAAATATACATGGCAGTGTTAACTGTAGTCACCATGGGATATGTCAGATCATAAATTTACCATTTTTTTTCTTGCAAGTCTTTTCTCCCCACATCCCAGCTCCTGTAATCTACTATCCTGCTCTGCTGTTCTATGTTCAACTTGCTTAACTCCACAAATTAGTGGTAGCTCTTTGATATGCTTGGGAGACACAGTTTCAAGCTACAATATTTTGTATAAAAATGCAAGCCCTTGTCCTTGGAAATATTCTGAAAATCACGTATGCATATTAAGGGAAGCTAGATTTATTATTCATGTTGGTGTTTTCATTAAAAGGTTAATAATGCATACACTGAGCTCTGTCGCCTGGAAAGCTGTAGAATACCTGGATCATCAATGATTAACACACCACCCTTCAAGTCTGAGTCTTCATGAAAGCATGTAGAAGTACTGCAATGCTTTTGGGTAAAACAGCTGGGATACCCCAAACAGCCTCTCAAATAAAGATATTTCCAAACGTCTAGCAATATATTGAAAAAAAAATTCACTGAAAGTATTATATACCCCATGCTAAACTACAGAAAATTCTGTATACTGCTTGGCTTAGCCTTAACTTTCAATGTTTTTACTTAGTTGTGAATTTGTCTTCTCAGTCTTGTTTTCTCTTGAATTCCTAATACATGTAATTTTTCCACTATTAACTACTCTTTCTTCTTTCTCCTCATCTGATGCCCGGTGTCAACTCTGAGTAGTAAAAGCATCAGTTTAGCATGTAAATAATGAGATTTCAAAGGATTCCTGAGGGTGTCTCCATTTTCTGGACTTGCAGAACTTTCCTGAGACTATTGGATGGAGAAGCATGCTGGGAGGAAGACGGTGAAATATGAGGTTTCTGTAGAGCAGACAAACACGTTTTAAACCATGTGGAATGAATTTATGTTTCGTCCTTCCAGTTGTAGGGCAGTGGAGCCTTGGTCTAAGGTGTATCCAAAGGTTTTCCAGCAGCTTTACTTTTTAGCTGCAGTAAAGAGTTGGCCATGAGAACAGGAAGGTGGGTAAGGGGGAGGAAATTCAGGAAGACTGACACTAGAGAGGATGAAATGGCCATGCCCTAAGTCAGCCTTTTGTTGACAACCCCTAACAAGAGGCTGAGCCACAGCGCAGGTATCTCCAGCAGAAGCTCTCTGTCTCTGCCCTGCTAAGTTGTTTGTCAGTCTGACACAAGCTAGAGTTGTCTTAGAAGAAGAACAATAAATGAAAAAAAAATGCCTCCATCCAAATTCCTGTATGCAAGTCTGAAGGGATATTTTCTTGATAATTGACTTGAATGAGAAGACCAGGGTTCACTGTGGGGAACTGCTACCCATGGTCCAGGAGCTACAAGAAAGAAGACCGAGAAAGCCATGGGGAGCAAGTCAGTAGGCAGCATTTCTCCGTGGTCTCTGCTTCTGTTCCTGCCTCCAGGGCCCTGCCTTGAGTTTCCCTGACTGCTCTGGATGATGGGCTATAAGCTATAAACTGAGATAAGTCCTATCCTTCTCAAGGTGCATTTGGTCATTGTGTTTGTCACAGAAATAGAAAGCAAACCAAGACAGTTCCTGTATTCATTTGGGACATTGCTGCCTCATGTGCTGCCATGTTGGCAGGCGCGAACGCACGCGTGCGCGCGCGCGCGCACACACACACACACACACACACACACACACACATTCACGCACGCATGCAAGCACGCACACAGAGCTCTCATCTCAAAAAAGATAAGAGACAGTTTATTCTGCAACAAATATGAGAGACCCTGGCCACCCTAAATTTCACTTGATAATAGTTTGATTACATTTTTAGACTAACAATGAACAAAGTCATTAATCAGGACACTTAGAAAGCATTGGTGCGTATGTCAGAGGAGTGAATTGAAGCAAAACAGGGAAAACTCAGCTGCTGGCCTCAGATGCTATGTGACAGCATTCTTAGCCCTTTGGTTGACAGAAACATGGGTCTGTTTCAACAGTCCAAACGATTTACCTAACAGTCACAAAAATGTTAGGTCACATACAGAGGAGAGCAGCAAATGGTTATTAAGGGTGAGAGGGTAAAGTTTAGCTCAACATGATTTCCAAACTCTCCACAGTCACTAAAGGTCTGATGAGTTAATCAGCCTCACAGACAGGTTAATGTGAGGCGTGGCTCTTTCCAGAAATGTTTATTCACAAGCACTGTAGCTTGTTTTTTATGTAATGTCTTATTTTATTAACATTAGTATATATCAGATAAGCCTTAATATGCTAAAAATTTTCCCAGTAGTATTCATTTTGTTAGATTTACAGAGGGTTTTTTTAATTAAATTTTGGCTTTAAAAAAATGGTTTCTCTTGATTTGATATATAGAAGTTGGTAGCCAGGAAGTATTTTCTCTCCAGAAATTCAGATTGCCATAAAATAAAAAAGAGCACCCCAGGCCACCTCCATTTATATGGGCTTTACTTCCTGAGGACATGGGTCAATATTCTTAAAAGGAGCCCCTGGACAATTCTCATAGACCAATCGGTCTCCTCACATCCTGTGCTTCATCAGCTCAGTCAGTGAATTTAACTAAGTTGTAAACACCAGCCATGGAAAGAATCACAGATGGGCCCTTTCATGTTTTAATCTTGTAGACACCGTACATGTTACCAGCCATGTATTAAGTGATTCTGTGTGAGACAAATTTCACCATGTGTAGAACATCTTGGTTTTGTCTCAGTTTAAATCCCCAGGTCCTTGCACAATGGTGAAATAGGATCATAAACCCTTGACAACTTGGTAAATATAATTATGAAATAAGTGTTTAGTGGGAGAAAGGCAAAAGCACATGGTTTGAGCAAATTATTATAATTAACTCTAATTCTAGTCACAATACTGATGGTTGTGAAATAAGTGAACTGTTGAGTTTGAGGTTTGACTGCCTAGAACCTCTTGTTGCTTCTCTTCCTTCTCTCTCTAAAATCTGAACGTTTTGGATCCTTTCAGTGTATGCAGAATAAGAGTATTCCATAAGCTACAGTGTAAGTGAGCAGCATTGGAGAGGGGGCTCCCCTGAGGAACTCCAGCCCTACCCAGATCAACCTAATAGAGCAACACATTGTTGAAAGCAGATGAAGGTGTTTTGGCTAGCATCCTGACATCTGTACCTGCTAAAATGAAACAGTTTTTAAATGACTTGTTTTCCATCGTGTTCAATCTCTTCCATCATTTCAATGTCTCCTGTGTCCCATCTTATTATGTGGCTTATGTGACATGCCTGTCTTCACGGAGAAGCCATCTTGTAGATTTTAGAAAAAGAATAAACTTATGTTTGGTGCTTCTTATGCATAGGTGTGCTTCAAAAGAGAAAATGTGGTGGCCAGTTAGACATCCCATGCTTACCTCAAACTCCCCCATAGGTAGTCCACACATCATGATACCTCACTTAGAAAAGTACATTAGTGATTCAAGAAAGATTTTTGGTTTGGGTTTTTTTTTCTCTTCATTTTTGTCATTCCAAACTTATTGAACAGTAAATACTCCCTTGCTTTCCTTAAATTCCTCCTGATGATTTTGCCAATGACTTTTAAATCACACCAGAGAACAGTACTAGAGATGAGGAAGGACCTTTGTAGGGGTTTATAGTTGGCAACATCTCTAAGAACTGTGACAGTGTTCATTTCATTTGCCCTGTAGTGCTGCCTTTGCCGTGTGGAGAAAGAAAACAGAGGCATGGAAGGTTTGTGCTCTACTTAATAGTCCTACAGGAAGTCATTTGCAGAGGTCATAGTCAAATC